TGGAAATAAAGTACTCACTACTCTCATCCTCATTGGATTCAAAAACCACAAATTTGACTTTCTCTTATAGCTAAACTATTTCCGACATGGTGGTGTGTGGCTAGGGCTTCCTGGTTGAAAAGCTGTACATGGCCAACCTTCTTTGGCCTCCTTGGTTGTGCCCAAGGCATTCTTTGTCCTTCTAGGATGGATTTTAGGCTTAGGGCCTTCTTCCCTTCTCGAATTGGGATGTTCGGCCTATGGTCGCTTGGGTTGCCTCCTTGGGCTTTTTGAGTTGACCTGTTGGGCCTGCGGTATTTGTCTTAGGGGCCTTGCACATGGGGTGGGCCTTGGGGTAGCCTGGACCGCTCGACGTTGAGCCCACAAGGCCTCGTCATTGGGCTTGGGTTTGACATGGCATGGGCCAATGCGGGCGGGTACTTGCATGGATGGGTCCGTGGATGTGCGGGTGGGTGACCCGCAATTTGGTTGCTTCCTGTGAGTTCGTGTCTTGGGACCCCTCTCATAAATGGGCTTTGATGCTTTCGGATACCATATCACACACCTTCTTTAAATGACCATACTTTTTGTAAATATTGTACTATACATGCTTCCAAAACTTACTTGTAGAATGGTTAGATTTATCACAACTTCTATAATGTGGATACTCTTCTTTTTTTTATGAATCTTCTAAAATTTATGGCTACTTCCCTTTATTTGCTGAGGATTGATTATCCTTCACCTTTTGAATTTGAAGTCCTAGACTTATACCTCTGCCTTACTTGAAAAACATTATCAGTGATCTCATCATTTTTTATTGAAACGCTTTGCTCCTAAGCTTGTAGCTTACTGATAAGTTTAGCAATAGTAAATTTCTCGAAGATCACATGTTTCTTCGATCATAGACAACTTTGATTCAAACTTCTTAAGGAGGTTAATCATCATTTTGTCAACCACTCTCTGATATTTGAATTCTCATCCAAGTAGTCTTTTTTAATTAACAAGATTCATAACTCTTATAGAATACTCTTTAATAGTTTATCCCTCTTGCATTTTTAATAGCTCAAACTCTCTTTTCAAATTTAGCAATTTCACACCTCTCACTTTAACACTTCCTCTGTATTATTCTTTCAAATAGTCCCAAACTTTCTTGGTTGTTTTGAAAGCTAGCAGCCTTGGGAATATGTCTTCAGAAGCAGAAGAATGAAGAATTGAAAGAGCTTTAAAATTCCTTATGGAACCTTCTGTGTCTTGCCTACTTTGTGGTAAGATGGGATTCTCGAGCAATAGAATTTTAATATACTCCTCCTCCTTAACACTCCAGAAATCATAGATAAGAAGATAGGTTTCCATTATCACTATCCAATAATAATAATTCTTCCCTATAAATACTGGTGGAGCTGGCAAGTTCACATTTGAAGTCATTTTCTTTTGTTAGAATGAGGAGCACAATCTCTCAAAGAAACTACTTTGATACCATTGTTGAGGCTTGTGAAAACTTGAGTGAGAAATTGAGAAAGTTAAGAAAAATAGAAAGCAAAGTACAAATAACAAAGAAGGAGAAGTTACTGGAAAATTTTTTGATTGATTTGATTGATATTTTTATCATACATTCAGCTTCTTAAATAGAAAATAAATTTAAGATAGTCAACATAAACATTAAATTAGATTTACTGATTATACATGTTCCAGAAAATAGATTTTCAATGTTGATTTAATGTAGATCTATAATTTTCAATAGCTTGTACTAATTTTCTGCATATTTTCTAACTTGTGTTAATTTGCTGCATATTTCCAACACTTTTGTTAATTTTTTTTGGATGTTTGCATAAGTCTTTATTCAAAGAAAGACTCATAAGTCAACAACAACACCAAGATTTGACCTGAAAGAAGTCTTTCCCAAATATACATCTTTTAATCTTTTCCCTCAGCATTGTGAGGTCCACATTTGGGTGCTATAGCCTTGAGTCAAATTTTCCTAATGGTAGAACAAGTAAGTCTGGTGCTGAGGTGCCCAGATGTTGGAATTAGGGCACCCAACATTCTGGAATTTGGGTGCTGGGGCACCAAAATGTAAGTGTTGTGGCACTTAATCATATTTTCTTCTTATTTTTGTCATTTCTTTACCATTTTATCTTGATTTTTCTTGATCTACCCAGATGTATACAACAACAAAAGTTAAATGAAATTCTGATAAAATATACTTAAAAACTTACAAATATTAGGAAAGAAAATAGTTGATTCATTGTATAAAATCAATGCATCATTAGACAAGATACATATTGGACAACACTATGGTCTCTCCCTGTGCCAAAATATGTTAGGTAATTTATGTGATTTTTTGTTTTTAACCTTGTCTTAACTAATGTGGAAAGGATTTATTGTTATATTACTGGCAATAGGTATGTTTGGTGTCATGATAATAGTGAGATTGCTTTACATGTTATTTAAGATTCCCG